TTCATAAAACGTACTCACCGACGCGCTCATATACTTTGTAATCCCAACTTTGACCATTTCATTCAGTTCATCTCTTCCTTTCCTCAATGCTCCCAGTAAAACCACAAAATTTCCAATTCTGCTTAAATAATAAATGTAGTTTCCTTGTGGATACTCTACACTGGTCACTACTCTATCATCACCTTCTCCTTCAGTCTAAATACACATATAGTCGAAAATACACACCCAAATACTTTGTGATTAGGTACCGTTTCGTTTCGTGTTTGTTCCAATACCACGGTTAACAGGAAAATGATTAAATAAGACAATGTAGTCATAAAACGTTTAAAAAATATTTTTCTCGCAAATCGATCCCATTTTCTATCGACTAAATCGATCACACGTTGATGCATAATTAAATCGACGTGAGCATATTTCACTATTAATTCTAAACCACTAACGACTGGCTCCGTGTTCTAAAATAACTTCATATGCGGAATATTTTTATTTTTGGTTTTCAATAAGAGATGTTACTGTGCGAACATTTTTTTTTCATAGTACAATCTGACATTCCATGTAACGAGGTAAATATATTATTAATACAGAACTTAATTCATATTATTTCATGTCTAGAAAACTCGAGTGTATGACCGAATCTCGAAAGCTTTAAATGCTAACTAAGTAACGTCGAAAAGCAATCTTTTGTATACATTGCCACTCAACCGACGGATCTTATTTTTTAACATCAACTCATCTTGAAACAGGCATTATAACTCAAACTTAACTAAATTCTTACACACATTTTAGATTTTGTTATTCAGATTCAGAACGTCGTGTAATATTTCGGAGTTTCCGCGGAACTGTCATCAAAAAACTGTCTGATCGCTTACTTCTGATTGAAGTTCTAAGTCTAACTGGTCTAATGGGTAGAGAATACAGCTCACTGGTCCAAAAGTCCACTGTACAATTTTTCGTTCTTCTATAAGAAATGAAAACATTTCGGATTTTCCAAGTTTAGCAGCTAATGTTAATGGTGTTAAATTTTCTTTATTTAAACGTTTCCATAATGGGGGATTACGTTCATCATTAAACGGTTCAACTTTCTCATCGTCTTCGGACTCCTCTTCGCTTGAACTAGTGCTGTCCCTGTGGACTATTGGATTTATTTTGCGTAAATGGGCTGATGGTGTTTTGGGCTTTTTTCGATTGAATTCTTCAATCCAACGTTGTTTAAATGCAACGTACAAGTCCGGTAAATTGTGAATAACCATTAAGTGTAATATGGTATTCCCTTTACTATCGATCTACAATGAAATAATAATGTGAATGGATGTATGTGGAAGTAGCAGATGGCATAATACGAACCATGTCGAGATTTGCACCGTACTTAATTAAAATTTCAACTAAATTCCATTGATTTGTACAACAAGCAAACGCTAACGGATATTCTCCATAATAACATGGTTTTCCTCTGATGAAAAAGGTAATAATGCATTATTAGTCCAAAAAGTACCTCGATACTGACAACTGTCTGCACGATCCGCGTACCGGCTTTTCTCGCCCTATACTATTCCGATCTGAAATACCAGATGATGTTATTAGATACCGAGGACTTTCTGAGCCTGAACTGCCGATAATATCAGTATCGAGTGCATGCTTATTTATGGTTATGTCATAGTGATGAAACAACATCTTACTCTTCAAAGAAATTACCAGTAGCAGTGCCATTCAACAACTGATCTCGGTATGCATAATTATTTGGATCACCTAGAAGCCATTCTACCATCTCAGCATTCTTCTTGATTATTGCAACATGTAATACATTCTCACCATAATACTCCTGAAACAGTCAAGTATTTGTATCTTTGTCAATTTATTTCAGAGTTAAACTAGGTTTACCGATAGATTATAGATAGCCGTAATCGCACCAGGAAATCGTCTTATGATATATTTGGCTAATTCTAAATGTTCTGGTGTTCCATATAGAAACAACATATGTAACGGGCATTCGCCGACAAATCCTCTCTCATTCACTATATTTTGATCTTTATTTAGTAGTTTTTCCAATTTTTTCTGATTTGCTTTACGAATAGCATTCCAGACTGTACCTTTTTCTCTTGCTGCCTCTGTTTGTTTTTCCACAGCAGTTGTGGTTGAA